CCAACTCCTGGGCTCAAGCGAGTCTCCTGCCTCAGCCTCCCAAGTAGCTGGGACCACAGGCGCCCGCCACAATGCCCGGCTATTTTTTGGTTGCAGTCATCATTGTTGTTTGGCGGGTCCGGGCTGGGGATTTGAACCCGCCACCTTACGTGTACGTGGCTGGCGCCTTAGCCGGTTGAGCTATAGGCGCCGAGCCTATTTCCATTTTAATAACAAAGAAACTGGTCTCTCTACAAAGAAGCCAGTCTAACTTAAACTGATTCCCAAGTAAGGAGAAATGAATAAAGTTCTCAACATTTTTTTGAGAACCTACCATATGATAGGTGCTCGAGGCCTCAGCACACTGGGGAAAAGGGAGATAGACTCTAATACTTACCGTATTTATTGTAAGCTGTTCACTGAAGGAGTTAGATTTGGTACGAAGAGACTGCTCCCTGAAAGCAAGTAAGACATACACTGAGATAATCCAGATTATACTAGATAAATAAATTATTATTATTATTATAATTATTATTGTGAGGCAAGAAAAGTAAAAAGCAGTTCTAAAAGAGTCCGACCTAGCCACCCTGTGTAGGCCTCAGCCAAGCCGCAGGCGTTTCTATTGTCTGCGTGTTTCTCCCGACATACTCGGGGCCTAGATTGTAATCTAGTAACTCCTTTGGGCTTCCATTGCCTTTGAGGGCAAGGGGCCCTACCAGTGTCAAGGACGCGGGCGAATCTGACCTTCCCCTTGAGCCGGGGACCTTGAAGATGATGTTATGTCTCACACTTTATTTTATGACCCTCATGTCTTATGACCCTCACGTGCACTCCCACCCTGAAAAGTGGATAAAAGAGAGGCAAGGGATTGAGTTGGGGGCTTGGTTTTGGGAAACATGCTGGTGTTCTGAGTACCCCCGGCCGAATAAACCCGCTTCCTCTAATCAACTGGTGCCTGGAGTCTTCTGTCTGCATAGGTTTCCTGCTACAATTGCAGTTTTGGCTAGGGCTGAGTTTGAACTCACCACCGCCAGCATATGGCGCCAGCGCCCTACTCCTTGGAGCCACAGGTGCCGCCCATATATAAATTATTTTTTAAAATGCTTGCCAATTTAATGCCCGTTAAACAGAATTTTTACTTTTTTTCAGTTTGCATAATTTTTGAATGCTAGTGAAGATGAACAACTTCCCATCTGAATGCTTATTATTTACATTTTTTATAACGGTATATTTATATTTATGCCCTTTGCTCAATTCCCTTCCAGGGTTTTGCAGATGTTCTTATCTGTATGAGTTAGTATTTTACAGACTATGGATATTAGTCCTTTTTCAAAAAATCTGATACAAGTATTTTCCCCATCTCCCTGATTCTATGTTTTCCAGTTATTTAAAATTATTTTATTTTTGACTATATCATTATTTCTGAACCCCTTTAAAAATAATTTTTATGACTAATAAAATACTTGATACAACCCCAGTATCTTACCCTGATTTGAAAGGCACTGATGTGGGTGGTGACACGAGGGTGTCAGCAGAGAGGCTGTCAGCACCAGGGATGGGAGAAGGAGCAGCAGAGTCCCGGGAACTAACACTGTGCCCATCAGAGCCAGAATTTCTGGCAAACTTCACCTAGGGAAAGAGCCAACACAGGTGGAATAGACTACAAATACACTTTTCCTCCTTTCTTTTCACGTATTCTCTATTACACAAGCCATTATCCACTCATTATAGGCAAATCAGAAAATGTAGGTAGGCAAAACGCTAAAATAATAATCACTTGCAATTCAATGACCAATATTAACCATTATATTATCTGTGTGTAGGTGTATGTTATTTTTTTTTTTACAAAACTGGGCCATATTGTTTTGTAACCTGTTTGGCTTACTCACTGCTGTATTAACATATTTCTAAGTCAGTAGATATTAATTTATAATATTATTTTTAACTACTGAAGAGTATGTCTGGCTTCAAGGGTCAGCCTTTCAATGCTATGATCTGTAGGAAAAAGTTTCCAAAGGCTTTTAAGAAATAAAGTCATAGGCTCGGTGTCCATAGATCAGTGGTTAGGGTGCTGGCCATGTACACCAGGGCTGATAGGTTCAAACCCAGCCCAATCCTGCTAAAAAACAAACAAACAAACAAACAACAAAAAAACAGCTGAGTGCTGGGGCAGGGGCCTTGTAGTCCTAGCTACAGGGGAGGCTGAGGCAAGAGAATCACTTGAGCCCAAGAGTTTGAGGCTCTATAGAGGGCAACAAAGTGAGATTCTGTCTCAATAAAAAAAGAAAGAAATACTCATGCTATTACCAAATACATTTCACCATTCCTCACTTTTAGACATTTAGCTTATTACAAGCATAAACAATGCTTTTGTGAATAGCTTTATGTACATGTCTTGCCACAGCATCTTAAATATTTCCAAAGTATAAATTCCCAGAAGTTAAATTGTTGGATAAATTTTGCAGGCTTTTAATATATACCATTAAATTTCCCAACAGAAAGATATGACTCTTTCTCAACATTCTTGCCACACTGGGTATTATCATTCTTTACTAGCCTTTTCACTTTACTATGCATGTTAATTTGCAATTCTTTTATTCTTGGTAAACTAGAACATTTTGTCTTATTTTATTCTTACTATGTCACCCTTACTAGATTCAAATTAGTTTGTTATCTATCACCAACCATGATTTCTTCAAATTCAAGAGAAAACTGAGAGAGAATATAAAAGCTGTTGGAATAGGCTCAGTGCCCATAGCACGGTGGTTACGATGCCAGCTACATACACCAAGGCTGGCAGGTTTGAACCCAGCCTGGGCCAGCTAAACAACAATGACAACTGCAACAAAAAAAAGCCAGATGTTGTGGTGGGTGCCTGTATTCCCAGCTACTTGGGAGGCTAAGATAGGAGAATTACTTAAGCCCAAGAGTTTGAGGTTGCTGTGAACTGTGACTCCACCGCACTCTACCAAGGGTGACATAGTAAGACTCTATCTCAAAAAAAACAAAAACAAAAAGGCTCAGCACCGGTAAATCAGCGGCTCGGGTGCCAGCCACATACATTGAAGCTGGTGGGATCAAACCCAGCCTGGGCCTGCCAAACATGACAATTACAACAACAACAAAAATAGCCAGGCATTATGGTGGTGCCTGTCATCCCAGCCACTTGGGAGGCTGAGGCAAGAGAATCGCTTAAGCCCAAGAGTTGGAGGTTGCAGTGAACTGTGATGCCATGGCACTCTATGGAGGGCAACATAATAAAACTTTGCCTCAAAAAAATAAAAAACAAACAAAAAAACAGTAGCTGGGAGCATGCCATGGAAAGAAGGCTAGAGTGGCCCAATAGAGATAAGGGTGGCTAATAAGAAAAGAGTCATTGAGAAGAAAGGCATCTCCTTTCTCTACAGCAGGAAAAGCCACAATGAAGATGATCACAATATTCACTATTTGTATGGTATTTTATAATTCATATAATTCATTAAACCCTATCACATTTTAATCTATTTAATAATCACAGCATAAAGCAACTTGGGTCATTTGGGGAGTGGAGGGTAGAATAAAGTTAATTAACTACAGCTTGCTACAGTTTTATTATAGAAATTATATATATTTATGATATAACATTTTTAGATGTTACCAAAGGTATAATGCTAAAAAGTAAACATTTCTGAATTCCACTTCCATTTTCCGGGGGGGTGGGGGGATCACTTTTAATCATTTCTTTTAAAGCTTACAGAAACTTTCTATGAATATATGGGCATGTGTGTATCTTTAATATATGTGCATGTGCACACATAAACACACAAGACCACACTATCCTGTTCTGCGACTTGCTTCCTTCACTTAACAATGGATTTGGATATTCTTTATGAGCTACATAAAAAACATTTTATGAAGAAACCATAATTTAATCAGTCTCTTAATGAACACTTAGGTTATTGCCAGTTTTTTATCATTAAGACATGACAGAGGGCGGAAAATACATAAATTAATAGCCATAAAATCACTAAGAAAAAAGGTTTATACACACACACATATAGGGCAGAAATCACTATTTTATAAATAAAATGAAAAGAATCTTAGTGTGCAGAAGTGATTTGCTCAAAGTTATAACCTCTTCTAAACTGAATAGAGAGCCAGGAAGGACATAAAACTTGGTCCTTTTAAAAAAATTAATTTTTTGGCAGGGCACAGTGTTTCACACCTGTAACCTAGCACTCTGGGAGGCTGAGGTGGGTAGATGACCTGAGCTTAGGAGTTAATTAATTTTAATTAAATTAATTTTTTTTTCTATTTTGAGACAGTCTCACTATATCACCTTCGGTAGCGTGCTGTAGCGTCACAGCTCACAGCAACCTCAAACTCTTGGGCTTAAGTAATTCTCTTGCCTCAGCCTCCCAGGTAGCTGGGACTACAGACACCCACCACAACACCTGGCTATTTTTTGTTGTTGATGTTGTTGTACTAGTCATTGTTGTTTGGCAGGCCCGGGCCAGGTTCAAACCCACCAGCTCTAATGTATGTGGCTTGTGGCTTAACCACTGGGCTACAGGCGTGAAGCCCAAATTAATTTTTTTATTGAGGTAAACTATACCGAACATACATAATTTACCATCTTTACCATTTTTTTTTGAGACAGACTCTCACTCTGTGCCCTGGGTAGAGTAGCATGGCATCATAGCTCACAGAAACCTCACACTCTTGGGCTCAGGCTATCCCCTTAACTCAGAATCCTGAGTAGCTGTGAGGCAAGAAAGTAAAAGCAGAACTAAAAGAATCTATCCTAACTGCTCTGTGTAGGCCTTAGCCAAGCCCCAGGCATTTCTGCTACCTGCGAGTTTCTCCCCTGACACACGCGGGGCCTAGATTGTAACCTAGTAACTTCCTTGGGTTTCTGTTGCCTTTGGGGCAGGTGGTCCTCCCAAGGCGAATCTGACCTTCCCCCTTGAGCCCGGGACCTTGAGGATGATGTCATGTTTCTCCGTCTTATGACCCTCACGTGCACTCCCACCCTGAAAGGTGGATAAAAGAGAGGCAAGAGATTGAGTCGGGGGGCTTGATTTTGGAAAACACGTTGGTGTTCCGAGTAGCCCCGGCCGAATAAACCCGCTTTCTCTAATCAACTGATGCCTGGAGTCTTCTGTCTGCGTCGGTTTCCTGCTACAGCTGGAGGTAACTACAGGTACTCCATTAACACCTGGCTAGTTTTAATATTTTTAGTAGAGATGGGGTCTCACTCTTGCTTAGGCTTGACTTGAACTCCTGAGCTGAGACAATCCACCTGCCTTGACCTCCCAGAGTGCTAGGATGATAGGCATGAGCTACTTTGCCTGACCCATCTTTACCATTTTTAAATGTACAGTTCATTGGCAATAAATACATTTATGTTCATTTTTTCCCCCTTTCTTGGTCTTTAGATTCCAAGGCTTTTGCTCTTTCTGACTATGCTCTTTCTACCTTTAAAACAAAATCTAAAGATTTATTTAGAATGAACCTCCAGGTCTTTAGAACCTGGTTTTCAAACATATTTATTTATTCACTTAACTAGCAAAAAGACAGTCACAGGGCTCATCAAACACAACACAGCACAATTTTACTCACCCGTCTGACTTCCACCTCAAACACCAGGGTTGAGTCTGCTGCTTGAGTCCAGCCTATAAGTCCTTCCGAGCCAGCAGCAAAGGCTGGAGGGATGACAAGTAACCGCTTCCCGCCTTTTCTCATGCCTAGCATTCCATCCTCCCAGCTCTTTAGGAATCAGAGATGGGAAACAGCTCATCAGATAAGAAGATCTTCCTAAGACAAGTCTAAGAAGATCAAGTTTCACTTATCCACTCTTTCCATGCCTTCTAAACTTCATAAAAGCTGGCATATTAAATACACTCTTCTTAAGTGATGAGAGAAAATGGGGGGAATAAAAGAATGGCAGTAAGCAAGAAATAAAGCTATGATTTATTAAGCATATTATTCCAGGCACTGTGCTATGTGCTTTACATGAATTATCTTGTTTAGTCCCCAAAATAACCACACAAAGTTGATAGCATTATTTTCATTCGTAAGCAGGCCAAGATCAGACAGTTAGTATATTGTTTCCAAGCTGAGATTCAACACTAGATCTGTCTAGCTTCAAAGATCATGCCTTGGTGGTGCCTGTGGCTCAAGGAGTAGGGTGCCAGTCCCATATACCAGAGGTGGCGGGTTCAAACCTGACCCCGACCAAAAACTGCAACAACAAAAAAAAGATCATGCCGGCTTGGCACCTGTGGCTCAAGCAGCTAAGGCACCAGCCACGTATACCTGAGCTGGCAGGTTCAAATCCAGCCCAGGCCGCCAAACAACAATGATGGCTGCAACCAAAAAATAGCCGGGCGTTGTGGCGGGTGCCTGTAGTCCCAGCTACTTGGGAGGCTGAGGCAGGAGACTCGCTTGAGCCCAGGAGTTGGAGGTTGCTGTGAGCTGTGAGCTGTGATTCTACAGCACTCTACCCAGGGCGACAGCTTGAGGTTCTGTCTCAAAAAAAAAAGATCATGCCTTAACTGCTATGATCTGCAGGACAAAGTCTCCAAAGGATTCTGGGAAAAGCAGTCATAAACAAAGTGATGGAGAAAAGCTGATAAATGAGTACAGCACAGTGCATCAGTATGTCCTGACACCAAGATACCCAATATGTGTAAAATACTCTATTTTATAAGGCAGCTGATAAAGAAAAAACCTCTGGGGCGGGGGAGGGGTGCCTTGGCTCAAAGGAGTGGGGCACCAGCCCCATATACCGGAGGTGGCGGGTTCAAACACAGCCCTGGCCAAAAACTGCAAAATTAAAAATCCTCTCAAAGTAAACCCAGGTCCTCAGATTCTAGTACCAGTGCTCCTCCTACTATGTCCTCACAGTTGCTTCCCTTGGGGACTGGGAAGTGCTGATTCAAACCAACTGAGACAGATGAGAATCAACCTATTATGACATACTTCTAGAAGAATCAGTTTTGTCTTTTTTCTTATTTAGGGTATAGAAAAGGAGGTAATAACTCTCACAGAGTCATAGGATGAAGAGAAAGGGTAGGGAGTACAAGGAACATATGTACCCATCTTCATAAAATGTCTCAAAGATAAAAATCTTCCAAATGCAGATAAGGTAACACATTTTTCCCCTCCTACTTTTCTTTTTTTTTTTGAGACAGAGTCTTACTTTGTCACCCTTGGTAGAGTGCCATGTTATAGCTCACAGCAACCTCTTGGGCACAAGTGATTCTCTTGCCTCAGCCTCCCAAGTAGCTAGGACTATAGGTTCCCGCCACAATGCCTGGCTATTTTTAGAAACAAGGTCTTGCTCTGGCTCAAGCTTGTCTTGAACTAGTGAACTCAGGCAATCCACCCACCTCAGCCTCCCAGAGTGCTGGGATTATAGCTGTAGCCACCATGCCTGGCCCTCCCTCCTACTTTACAACCAAGCATTTCCAGACTCTTAGAAAATATATTCTGGTTAGAAAAATCACACAAACTTAAACTAAATTAAGCCCACTGTCTTAATATAAAATCACACAAAAACACAGTTAAACCTTTACCTTGATGACTTTTCCTGATCCTAATTTTAGGCGAAGCAGTTTATCTTTGTTAACAGTGGAATCAAAAACCTGCAATTTGGAAAAAAGTAAATGAAGTCACCCAGTTTCAAAAATAGTAAGAATCACTGTGATATTCAACTAACTATACACAAGCACAGTACTTCTGAAATAGGGAATATCAAATATACCAAGAATATACCTTGAGACAGTCTCACTCTGTTGCCTCAGGCTAGAGTACCATGGTGTCATAGTTCATAGCAACCTCAAACTCCTGGGCTCAAGCTATCCTCTTGCCTCAGCCTCCTAAGTAGCTGGAATTATAAGTATACACCACTACACTTGGCTATTTTTTTCTATTTTTTGGTAGACACAGGTTTTCACTCTTACTCAGACTGGCCTAGGAACTCCTGAGCTCAAGCAATCCACCCACCTAGGCCTCCCAGAGTGCTAGGATTACAGGCATGAATCACCACACGTGAACAGAAATTAATTTTAAAGGAATGAAAAGATGAGACCACATCATAGCTAGGGTTTTATCACATTGTTCCTGAGACAATGGTTCTCCAGGTTTTAAAAAAATAAATTTCTACCACCACATATTCAACTAAACACTTTTCCTCTAAAAAGCATTTTCAAATTAATTATCTCATTTGATGCTGACACCAATCTTGCCAAGTAAGCAGAGTAAGGATCATTAACCCCCATTTACAAGTAGAAAAAAGGTAAACAGCTTAAATGACTTGATCAGTGTCAAATTAGGATAGAATTGAGACTTGAATCCATATTTTTTTAAAAAGTCATAGTCTAAAGATTTTTCTCTTATACTAACCTTCTTTTAAGGACTTAATAATATTGAAATAAAAAAATTCCAACATATTTACAGTATCTACTATAAGACAAACTCTGAAAAGGGTCTAAAAAGAAGTTTTAAAACCTAATCCCATAAGGATATATTCAAGTTTAAAACTGGTATAAGAGGATAAGACATACACATAAACAATTAGCAAAAATAACAGTATTTAGGAATTTGGTTTCCCCTTTCCATGAATAGAAAAGAGTGACACTGAGTAGATTTTACATGTTAACATTTTATGATATAGCCAAAAGCAGTTGTAACAACTAAAGCAGGGGTCCTAAAAGATTTCTATTTGCTGACAGCAGAAATTCACAGTAATTATACCTTCATTGTGAATGGTCCTTATGCTACTTAAATAGAAAAGCACTTGCAGGGTACATTTTCATTTTTTTTTTTTTTTGAGACAGAGCCTCAAGCTGTCCCCCTGGGTAGAGTGCCGTGGCATTACAGCTCACAGCAACCTCCAACTCCTGGGCTCAAGCGAGTCTCTTGCCTCCGCCTCCCAAGTAGCTGGGACCACAGGCGCCCGCCACAACGCCCGGCTATTTTTTGGTTGCAGCCGTCATTGTTGTTTGGCGGGTCCGGGCTGGGGATTCGAACCCGCCACCTTAGGTGTATGTGGCTGGCGCCTTAGCCGGTTGAGCTATAGGCGCCGAGCCAGGGTACATTTTCTTACCTGGCCCAGTCCATAATTCTGAAAGAGCCAGCCGGTATAGGCCACTTCCAAAGAATCTCCAACTTCCACAGCAGGGCCCTCTGCCACAATGAGGTCCTGGGATAGCACTGCATTTAGGGAAGAGGAGCTATTGTACTTGGCAATGCACACCTGCAAGACAAAATCCAGGTAGCATTAACTGAAGCCTAATAAGTGCTCTTTCCAATATTGCTACTGCTCTCTCTCAAACAGTTACATCCAGTAAAAAAATAGATAACATGTTTAGAAGGAAACCATCCCAAAGTCAGTAATCTTGCTAGGACTCAATGTGCCTGAGAGTATGGCTTTGAAGTCAGAATATCTAGGTACAGACTCAGGCACTGCCACTTAATTAACTTTGTGACCTGGGCCAAATAACTGAATCTCTATGTATTCAAAAGTCTCCATTTGTAAAATAGAGATAAAAGCTTCACATTTCTCATTGGGTAGTTATGAAAATTAAGTGAATTAATATAAGTAGAATACTTGGCAACATGCCTGGCAAATAATAAGTTGTTTAAAAACCATTAACTATGATTACTATATTGATTTACTATTTCAATGTTTGGAAACCAATTGAAAAAATTTCAAAAGGCACTTCTAAAGAAAATACACTGGGATCAGACTGAGCAAGAGTGAGTCTCTAAAGACAGGCAGGCATTGTGGCGGGTGCCTGTAGTCCTAGCTACTCCAGAGGCTGAGACAAGAGAATTGCTTGAGTCCAAGAGTTTGAGGTTGCTGTGAACTATGATGCCATATCACTCTACCGAGGACAACGAATACACTGGAAAGAAGGCCCTCACAAAATCAAGTCATATTCCCAAAATTCATATCACTACAGATATAGATTTGGCCACATTATCTTAGCACAAATCTTAAACGAATCAGATACATCTTTATGAATAATTATTCTATAGTCAATATTTTAATGGAATATACATTAGAAACGTGTTATTCAGTTTTTTTTTTTTGGACAGGATGTAGGATTTATTTTGGTAGGCGCAATTGATAGGCAACAGTGTTAAGTCCTCATGAATGCAACTCCACAGCCATCTGGGATGAGACCCTTCTCAGCCACCATGTCTTCAAATTCATCAGAGTTAAACTCAGTAAAACCCCATTTCTTGGCGATGTGAATCTTCTGACAGCCAGAGAACTTGAACTTGGCCCTGCAAAGGGCCTCATTCACATGCTCCTTGCTCTGTAGTTTAGTGCAGATGGACATGATGACTTGGCCAATGTGAACCCTGGCCACGGTGCCCTGGGGCTTTCCAAAGGCACCACGCATACCTGTCTGGAGCTTAGATTAGGGACAGCACAAGGTCTAACACATGAACATGTATTGGAAAGGAATGTCTCCAAGGTCCCTTAGAGCAACCTATACAAGCAACAGGCTGCATACACTACCAAGGAGGCTACTATTTGCAGCCATTGCACACCAGGCCCCCATGAGGAAAGGAGCATGGTCGGCTTAATTAGCTGCAGGTATTCATTTTCTTTTAAAAAATGTCACAATATTACAAACAAATAAATGCTAACTAAAACAGTGAGACATCATTTTTTACCAAGTGAATAAGACCAAAAGAAAAAAAAGGATCATTCTAAATTCTGGCAAAAATACAGTGAAAGTGAAACAGCATAGTCTTTCTGAAAAGGAGTGGACCAAAGTGTATTCAGAATCTAAAAAATATCTGGATTCTTACCCACTTATAAAAATAAAGCCTAAGGAAATGCAGGGGGAAAAATGATACAGACTTTATACATACATATACACATATTTATAATTTTAAAAATACTCACTACAGTATCATTTACTACAGAGATGGAAAATCTAAATGCCTAAAAGTAGGGAATGATTACATCCAGAACATCTTTTATAGCCTGAACATGCCTCCCCAAAATTCTTGTGCTGAAATCCTAATTCCCAGTGTCAGTATTAGGCGATGGGGCTTTTAGGAGGTAAGTAGTGAGGGTGGAGCCCTCATGACTGGGATTAGAGTTCTTACAAAAGATACCCCAGAGAGCTCTCTTGCCTTCTTTCTGTGTGAGGATACAAGAAGAAGATAGCAATCAGCAACCCAGAAAAAGGCATCAGCAGAACCCAACCATGCTGGTACCTGATCCTGGACTTTTGGCTTCCACAACTATGAGAAATAAATTTCTCTTGTTTATAAGTCATCTACTCTATGGTTCTTTGTTACAGTGGCTTGAACTAAGATAATATCCATATTACGCAGTATTTGAAAATTTTTTTCAAATAATTTTTCATGAGTTGCTTAAGTAAAATAAGCAAGACATAGAACTAGTGACTATATCCACTTAAGTATACTATACATAGGAAAAAGGAAATATGAGGTCAGACAATTAAGTTTGCAAACTCATCCTAGAAAAAAGTGCCACATACCTCACTACTGAATATCTATCACTACCGTCACCAGATAGCCAACAGAAGTACCTTGAAGGTGACTGCAGCAATATTCAACAATGAGACATGTATCATTTTGTGGGGAATGAGTTTGTGAACTTAATTGTCTGACCTTGTATAACATGTTAACAGTGGTTATTTTAGGTAGTAAGATTATAAATAATTTTTTTTTTTTTTGTGAGCTCAGGCAGTCCGTCCACCTCAGCCTTGCAGAGTGCTAGGATTCTAGGCATGAGCCACTGTGCCCAGCCCCACAACTTTATTTTCAAAAGATTGCTTTAATTTAACTAGCACAGTGTCAAACAGAAAAATAAAATACAATTTTTAAAAAATGATAGTTTTATTCCTTAAGATAATTTACTTATAAAGCAGAGAAATGTTTCCATCAATAAGTTTCCATTTAGTCTTTTTTTTTGTAGGGGGTAGTCTTCCAGTGAGTACCAGAAAATCTGCTAGACAAACTCTAAAAGAGCTGCAACACCAGACTTTTTTCTCTTAAAATATCTCATTGTCAAGCAGTTTCAATAAGTACTCCTATTATTTTCTTTAAATCATACAATAACTCAAGTGACAAAATTTGTGGGTGTTGTTCGTTTGCTTGTTTTTGAGACAAAGTCTTATTTACCTACTGCTCAGGTGGGAATGCAATGATCTGATTGTAGCTTACTGCAACCTCACACTCCTGGGCTCAAGCGATCCTCCTGCCTCAGACTCCTGAGTAGCTGGGACTATGGTATATGCCACCAAGCCTGGCTAAATTTTCTATTTTCTTTTGTAGTGACAAGATCTTCCTGTGTTGCCCAGGCTAGTCTCAAATTTCTGGTCTCAGGCAATCCTTCCACCTTAGCCTCCCAAGTAGCTAAGACTTTAGGCAAACACCACCATGCCTGGTCCTTAGTGAGATTTTATGCTTTTCACTAATAAAATATAGCAGATTATAGGTTTTCTATATATTTTTCTAAAATTGAGGAAAATTCAAACATGTATTATGGTTCTTCACAGGAAGAGTAAGATGGTATCACCTGTTTATTGAACTCCATGGCAGCCTTTTCTGACTCAAACATGATGGACCAGTTTTGTCTCTGGTCATCATAAAAGGTGCTATAGTTATTGGGTCGAACCTAGGGAAAAGAGAAATGTTAAGACAATTCATCCACAAGCAGCTTAGCAGATAAATCTGACTACCTAAACCTGACTCAGGCGGACCCAAGGAGAGGTATCAGGAATCTTTCTTCTTCCCTCCCACCCTCCACCAACTACCACTCCGTCCACACTCCAGGAAGGAGCCAAAAAACCTTTCTGAGAAGCTCTATTAGATTCTCACAATGACACCTAGGGCTGAAGCACCGGTGTGTCACATTACATATTACATACGCTCAGACTAATCCTTCCTGTAAAACTTTCCCAAAGGAGCTGATTCCAATGTAAGGAACTCTTACCATTAGCTCAAAGTTCAGATGAATCCTAGCAACAGTAACTGGCTGTTGCTGACTGATATAAACAAGAATCCTATACTGTACTCCAGTGAAGAAGGGCAGAAATAAAAAAAAAAAGAGAACAGAAATTAAAAGGCAATACAGATGTGAGGAGTTCTACACTTTATACAGCTATAGAACTTAAAGTCTGTTCATCCCTTAAAGCTTTAATTTTAAATATCATTTCATTATCTATTTTAATCATTTCTTGTTTTGGCCTTACTCCTTGACTATGATTGTCTTTATTTTGTTGCTGTTTTCATTTATATGAGAGGTCATTAAGAGACAGTGAATGAATGCTTAAAATGCAATTTTTTTTAATTGAGGGAAAATATATAGGAAAGTCACAAACCTTAAGTGTTTAACTCAGTTTTCACATATCTATTGCATATACATATATACATCCATATGAGCATCACCAGATTAAAAGAAGTATCTCCAATATTCCAGAAAGCTCAGTTAGGCCTCTTCATAGTTAATAATCCCAACCCTGAGGTTCCCACTATTCTGATTTCTATTGCTGATTAACTTGGCTATTCTTAAATTTATATAAATGGGAGTAGACAACGTATATTCTTTTATCTTTCTTCTTTTACTATGTCTGTAAGAGTTAGTCTTGTCATTTCTGTTCTCTTCTATTGTCATGTACATTCACTTATATGTATATACCATAATCTGTTCACCCATTTTCCTGTGGGGTTTTTTTTTTTGAGACAGAATTTCACTGTTGCCCTTGGTAGAGTGCTAGGGCATCATAGCTCACAGCAACCTCCAACTCCTGGGCTTCAGTGATCCTCTTGTCTCAGCTTCCCAAGTAGCTGCAACTATAGGCGCCACCACAACGCTTGGCTAGTTTTTACAGATGGGGTCTCAAACTCCCAACCTCTAGCAATTCATCCATCTCGGCCTTCCAGAGTGCTAGGATTACAAGCATGAGCCACTGCGCCCAGCCCCCATTCTCCTGTTTATGGACATTCAAGTTGTTTCAAGTTAGAGGCTATTATAAATAATACTTCTGCGAACATTCTCCATGTCTTTTGGAGAACATAGACATCCATTTGCTTCCTTTAATGTTTCCTGTAGGGCCAAACTGCTGGCAATGAATTCCCTCAGCTTTTGTTTGACTGAAAATTTATTTTGCCTTCATTTTTGAAGGATATTTTTGTTCATCTAGAATTCTAGATAGAGTTTTGTTTTTCTTTCAACACTATAAAGATACAATTCTGCCATCTTTCGATTCCAATGACATATACATTAGACCATATCCCACGTCTATCTTTGCTCTGGTCTCTCTCCATTCTTTCTTCTCTCTGTGCTTCAATTTGGATATTTTTTGTTGAACTGCCTCTGAGTCACTGATTCTGTTCCCTGCTGTGCTCAAATGCTGCTAAACCCATCCAATGTGTTCTTAATTACAGAAATTATATTTTTCAAATCTAGAATGCCATTTGATTATGCTTATGGATTCCAACTTAATTCGCCATCTTTTCATCCTTTTTGTACTTTTCCTTTATTTTCTTTAAGATATGAGTCACAATCCTTTGTAGGTTAACTTCAATATCTAGATTATTTGTGGGTCTGCTCCTTATTAATTTGTTTCCTTAATTATCAGTTACATTTTTCCACCTCTTTACATGTCAAGTAATTTTTGATTAAAGGTCCCATTTGTATAAAACAATATAGGGAATAAAATCATAAAAGTCTTAGTAGAAAACACCAGGATAAATCTACATAGCCTTGGTTTTGAGAACGGATTCTTAAACATGACACCAAAAGCACCATGACAAAAGAAAGAGCAGACAAAATGGACATTGACAAAATTAGAAACTTTTGTGCATCAAAAGGTATTAAGAAAGTGAAAGGACAACTATAGGAGAAAACACATGCAAATCAGGGTTTGATATCCAGAATACATTAAAAAAAATTATGACAACTCCACAATAAAGAGACAAAACTCAAAAACGGGCAAAGGACTTGAATAGATATTTCCCCAAAGAAAATATACAAATAGCCAATAAGTATACGAAAAGATGTTCAGAATCATTAGACATTAGGGAAATGCACATTAAAATCACAATAAAGTACCACTTCACACCCACTATCGTAGAATGTCAAGAATTTTTTTTTTCCAGCTTTTGGCCGGGGCTAGGTTTGAACCTGCCACCCTTGGCATATGGGGCCAGCACCCCACTCCTTGAGCCACAGACACTGCCCAAAATTTTTGAAAGGACAAAAAAATCCCAGAAAATAACAGAATGTTGGTAAGGATGTGAAGAAACTGGAACCTCCATATACTGTTTGTGGAAATGTAAAACAATGCAGCAGCTATGGAAAACAGATTGTTCCTCAGAAAGCTACACACAGGGCCAGACATGGTGGCTCATGGCTGTAATTCTAGCACTTTGGGAGGCCTGTCTGGGTGTGGTGGTTTATGCCTATAGTCCCCGCTACTTGGGAGGCTAAGGCAGGAGGATCACTTGAGCCCAGGAGTTTGAGTTTGAGGTTGCAGTGAGCTGCATGATGATACCACTGCACTCTAGCCTGGTGACAGAATGAGACCTGTCTCAAAAAAAGAAAAAAAAAAAAAAACTAAACATAGATTTACCATATGACTTGGCAATTCCACTCCTCATACATACCCAAAAGAACTAAAAATAGGAACTCAAACATATATGGAAATGTCAAAGTTCATTGCCCCGTTATTCATTATTGCCAAAAAGTAGAAACAGCACAAGCATCCATCAACTGTCGAATGGACAAACAAAATGTGGTTTATACATACAATGTAATAGCCATGAAAATGACTGAAATACTGATACCTGCTAAAACATGAACCCCAGGATCATGGTAAAGGAAATAACTCATACAGTATTATCACAAAAAGATAATATTGTATGAGTCCATTTATACGCAGTATCTAGAGCAGGCAAATTTATAGAAACAGAAGGTACCGTAGAGGTTATGCACGGATAGGAGAAAGGGAAATGGAGGGTTATTGCCTAATGGTTACAGTTTCAGCTTGAGATGATGAAAAAGTAGAAATAATAGCAGTGATTGTTGCTCAATATTGTGAACATAATTAACACCACCGGAATTATACACTTAAAAATAGTTAAATGGTAAATTTGATATATACTCCCCTATACATACCACAATTAAACAAAGAAAAAACAAATTCATTCCCAGAAGCGGAGGGACTCCCCAAATTCTTAAGTTAGGACTATACACAAAGATTTTGAATGGCTGGATTTGTTTTAACACACAACATTAAGCAAATATATATACCTAATATTAACAAATTCATATTAAACACACATAATCGTTCCTCTGACAAATAAAACACTGGGCAAGCCCAGATGAAAACCAGCTCACTGGCAGTATTTAGGAAACTTAAATATAAAAGGGACGTGGGGCATTCTCACCTCTTTGGCTGTATGGTTCCCCAGGACCGCAGCACCAAATTTGCCCTGCTTTACATACTGACCATTCATGCTACAGAAGAAAAACATCAGGTATTAATACTCCCCTGAACTATGGAGAACCAGCTTTCTTTTCTGCCATACACAAGTGGGAAATCTAGTCATTTTGCCTCAAGAAAGGGACATAATTGAACGGTTTATAATTTAAAGCTCTTATACAATTTAACTCTTTAAATTATCTGTTATTCATGGTATCTCAGTGGAGTGGTTCTGAAAGTTGTTCAGGGCACAATTACTTCCAAAAAAGAGTAGGCAATACAATGGCTCTAAGTTTTATGTGCAGAAATCTCCAATTGTAATGTTAAAACACTAGTGATGCTTTGTGAAAGGGGTGAGTAACCATTTTGCAAGGAACAGAGTTTTTTTTGAGAAAAGACATGAGCTTAACTGTAATCCCCTCCACCAAATTTCAGGAAGCGTTCCTTCTCAGCTACTTACTACCGATATGCATGGACTACTGTTGCATGCAGTACTGTAGAAGTGCCCATGGTGGCTGGTGCTGGTTTTGGTGTTGCCTGATTTCCTAAAGATGAAAAAGAAAGGCTGTCATTCATTTCTTGCTTGAAACTGATTTTTAACCATTAAACTAGCTTTAAAATCCTTTTTCACATCCTATAGTTAGTGTTACAATGCTTTCATGGCCATTACTCTCAATATTTTTCTATTGCCATTTTTACATGAAGTATGTTTTTCTGAACTTTCAGGAGGGGGGATGGGTCAGAGTGGCTTTTCTAACTTCCTTGATTGTTGTTGTAGTGTAGGGGTCAAAAATTTGGTGGCTTCCATCTGAGATGCCCTGTTTCTCTCTCTACTTTTCTGTGGACTCTCTCTTTCCTTCTTCTCCAGTGTCCCTAACCTCCTCAATCTCTATTCCATTCCCAGCAGGCTCTTCTCAACATGGGCCTATCCTGGAAAGTTGCCCTTCCAAGTAGATAACATTCAACAGTTCATTAGCAGCAAGACTGCTCCAGCTCTTTTAGCCCACAACATCAACCCCTTGTGTTTACTCAAAACTAGAGTGGGCAAAACTCTTCCCAGTCACAGCGTGACCTGCCATACTTTCCATGAACACCTGTTGGCTATTTGAGGGTTCTCCCATTCTTAGAGTCAGACACTTTATTACTTCCCCATTTTTCTCCATATGAACATTGGTACCATGCAGGCCTGGGGACCATGAGCGGTTTGTCTCCACCTGTTTGTATTTGAGGTTTCATAAGGATACAATTCAATTGGCTTTGTTGTAAATACTATCTATATTCTATAGATTTGTTTTTACTTCTAGTTGTTGTTCTACACATTTTTATAATGAGACTTGACGAGATTCAAGAACTATGCTACAGCCATCTTCCTCACAAGGGCTTCCTATAACCGCAGGTGTATTCCCTTGAACCCAGAGGGTCTCCTGTATCACTCCTTTATTTGTAAAAGACTAAAGAAGATTGTATAGGTAAATTTTAAGTTGAAATGCTAATAAAGCTCCTCTGCCTTTTTTTTTGAGACAGAGTCTTACTCTATCACCCTGGGTAGAGTGCTGTGGCATCATAGCCAACAGCAACCTCAAATTCTTGGGCTCAAGAGATCCTCTTGCAGCTGGGTACAGCAGCTCATACCCATAATCCTAGCACTCTGGGAAGCTGAGGTGGGTGGACTGCTTGAACTCAGGAGCAGGTATTTTAAAAATATCAGTCCCTCCTTCTCTCCTTTTCATTGAACAGATGTTCACTCAATTAATGCCCATCGTGTCCATCACAATGAAAGGTACAGGGGATATAATAATCCATGTACTATCTAGTTGCGAAAAATACACTTGCCTATTGCCAACGCAACTCATCCAGGTGAAAGAAGTGGACAGACAGTGTCTACTTAGAGTGTCTAGGGCAGTTCTGCAGAGTGGTGTCCACATGAGGCAGAACTTGTCTTCAACATTCTCCATCAGTTCTCAACACGGGGCACACTATCTAGTTGCTGGTATTCAGGGATCCCTGGTCTTAGAAGGCATCCACTACTGGTGGTGAGCTCAGCTAGACTGGTCAAGGATAGACAACCTGCACGACACTTTTAGAAGGCTGCTCATTCTTCCAACTGACCAGTTAAGGCACCACACTACTTACCTGTTGTTGCTGCTCCCTGGCCTTTCTTAGGCTGCTTTGGAGCTGTGTACTGGAAGAATTCGTTTCCATGACCAGCAGCTGCCTGATCCATTCCAAAAAGAGAGGCCAATCTGGCACTATTAGTAGAAAATGAAATTCCATTGACATACCCCACATTGAAATCATTATAATAACCACCCACTTCCAACTTTGAACAAATATCCCCTGACTATATATCTCACCATTCAACACTGGAAATAGCAGCTAAGTATCTTTGAAATTAAGATTGTATATTTTGATCTGAATATCATCATCTGACCCTGCTCATCCACAGATTTTGGTCAAAGCATCTCTCCTTTTTGGAGCTCAGTTTCTCCATTTTTAAATTAAGGCAATTAGTCTAGACGCTCTGTACGGTTTCTTCAAACTGTAATTCCTTGCTTATAGTTTCCAGTCACCCTATTATTGCCTCCTCCCCGATTTTTACCAGTGTCTTAAACCATACTATGATCTTATCTATCAAACAAGGTCCCTGCTATGATGTCATCTAACAGGTAGGACCACTCTTTTACTGTCCCTTGCACTATGCTGCTACCATTCCACTGAAACTGCTCTTGCTAAGATCACCAGTAATCCTGGGTCACTAAACCCAGTTTATCAGACCTTATCTTACTTGGCTTCATGTCACCTTTTCATATGTCAATTAATTTGTTCTTCAAACTATTCCCTTGGTTTCCCTTGATCACCCACAGTGATCTTTCTAAAAACCAAATTTAACCAACTCTCCCTCCTCAGTGAAACTTTCAATGACACCTCAGTATTCCAAGATAAAAATGCAAACTCCACACGACAGCTTTACAAGACCCTTCAAGACCTCCCCTCCCCTTATTCCTTGGCTTCATATCTGGCCATTTCTTACTCCCAACTGTGTGCTGCAGCCACCCTGAGGAACTGTTAGTTTCTCAAAGAAAGAAAAATTTTTTTAATCTCCAGCCTTTGTACATATGTTCCCTCTGCCTGCAACATTCTTCCTGTTCTCCTTATCCCCTGGAATTTGACCCTAATCTCAAATTCTAGGTTAGATGATCTTCCTAGGGACTCCCATAGTCCTCTAAACTCATTGATTCAGTGTCAGACACTGTAGTAAGGGCTAAGTTATACTCATGGGCAAAACTGCATTTTACTTTCCAGGAGCTTATAATTTAATGAGGGAATGAGACATTAAGTAATATTTAACTGTAAACTGCAGTATGAGATATATAACAGTGGCAGCTGTCGTATGGAGTTGTACTCTATAGAGATTAACAGAACTCAATCACTTATCATATAACATGGTAATTGATTATTTGTTTCAATCATCAATTGACTACATATAAGCATACCTCAGAGATATTATGGGTTTGGTTCCACATTACAATTTGCAAGCAAGTCACAGTTTCTTGGTTTTCCAGTACACATAAAAATATGTTTATACTATATTGGAGTCTACTGAAGTGTGTAGTAGCGTTATGTCTAAAAAAAACAGTGTATATACCTTAATTTAAAAATACTTGATTGCTAAAAAAAGCTAATGATCATCTGAGCTTTCAGCAAATCATAATCTTTTTGCTGGTGGAGGGTGTTGCTAGCTTCAAACTTTTCTTCTACAGGTGCCTCACCTCTCCCAGCTTTCACAGAATAGAAAGGAGTTAGGGCCTTGCTTTGGATTAACCTCTGGCTTAAGGAAATGTAATGTGGCTGGCTTGATGGTCCGTCCAGACCACTGAAACTTTCTCTATACTAGCGATAAAGCTGTTTCATTTTTTTATTATTATTCATGTGTTCACTGGAACGGCACTTGTAATTCCCTTCAAGAACTTTTCCTTTGCCCTCACAACTTGCCTGTTTGACATAAGAGGCCTAGCTTTTGGTTTATATTGGCTTTTAACATGCCTTCCTCACTAAGCTTAATCACCTCTAACTTTTGATTTAAAGCAAAAGATATGCAACTCTTTCAGATCCCTTGAGGAATTTGAGGTTGCTATGAGTTAGGCTAATGCCACTGCACGCTAGCTTGGGTAACAGAGTAACCCAACTCTGTCTCAAAAAAAATAAAAAGAATAGTCAACTCACTTTTGACTTCTGTAATGACAAGAGATACAAGATAATGAACATTATTAGTATATACTAAATGTTATAGTATAGTATATAGTATAGTATATAATTGTAATAGTTTTTCCTTTTTTTTTTT